GTTAAAAGATGTATCTCTAGCTTCCCCAGCAACCGATGCCAAGCAGTAGTGGTGGACGGTACAAGCTCCTCCTTTATTGGTGTTAAGTCAGGTGTCCCACAGGGATCAGTGGTAGGCTTCTGTTTGTTCCTAGCATACATCAATGACCTTCTCGAGAGACTGACATCCCAAGCAAGACTGTTCGCAGAAGACACCGCGATGTATAGGACGATCGCCAACAGATCTGACCAGAACCAGCGTACAACATGATCTCAATCGATTAGCTGAGTGAGAGATGTGCTGATACATGGAATTTAACCCTGCCAAGTGCCAGACACTGTCAGTCTCCTGAAGTTATACTCCTCTACACTACCAATACGAACTTCATGGCCATATACTTGAGGCAGTTTCCTCCGTAAAGTACCTGTGTTTACCATTCAAAGAGAGGTCCACTGGGACGAGCATATTAACAATGTGTGCAACCAGTTAAACAAGATCATGGGGTTACTAAGGCGCAATCTAATGATTGGAAACTCCTGTGTGAAAGAAAGAGCCTATAAATTGTAGTATAAAGCCTTTGTCCATCCGGTTTTAGATTATGCATCTTCAGTCTGGGACCCATTTACACAGAAGAGCATCGACAGGTTGGAGGTGGTCCAGCGACGGGCAGCACGCTTTGTCCTGAACAGCTACAGGAATACCTCTAGTGTGGGCAGCATGCTGGAAACACTGGGTTGGTCACCATTGGAGGAACGACGACGACTATCCAGGCTATCCGTATCGTATAAGATAAATAATGACCTGGTCCACTGCTCCAGCATTAAACAGAAACTCGTTCCTCTCCCCTGATAGACTGCGATGAGGCCATGACGTACAATTCAGGCTCCTATTGGCTAGAAGCCAGTATAGGAACTACTCACTCCTGACAAAGGCAATCAGGGACTGGAACAAGGTTTCAAAAAGGAACAGTTGAGGCGACTACACTTGACACATTCGCGTCTATTGCCTCAGGCCTTCCAACCCCCTTACAATGTAGCCCTTCCAACCAGTGAAATATCCTCATCAACACCAAGCACATACACAT